GTGACACCGCTCACTTATTATAAAATGTTTTATTGCACTGGACTGGCTAATAGGCAAAATACACCACCCAGTATGTGTGCCCATCGCGAGTACTTTCTATCGCATCGAATTTTGACATGGAACGTCCCATATGTTTTCTAGAATATTGTTAAAATTCATTCATATTGGAAGGCACTTTCCGTTGGCATCTTAAGTCGAAATAAACAACTAGCGGATACTATTATATTCAATGATTGTTTATTTTGTTGTATGAAATATGAACGGATTATGTTACTCATACGCCATGTATCCACGCGTTTGATCAATTTTTAATTGGAAAACATTAACTATTGATTACGCGAGCTTTAGGCTCTGGGCCTCCACAATTCCAAATATTGAATGTAAAAGTTTTATAAATGTAGGGAGCTGAAAGCGTGAAAAGCGCTGAACGACTGAAAAGCTTGGTATGGAGTTTTAACTCGACGAACTTTACAATGGAAAGACTCTAATATGATCGCTATATGGCCCTCCACAAATTTGTATTTTTTAGTTAAATCCGACTTCAAAAAAGATATAAATTCATCGGAATTTTTTANAGGCTCTGGGCCTCCACAATTCCAAATATTGAATGTAAAAGTTTTATAAATGTAGGGAGCTGAAAGCGTGAAAAGCGCTGAACGACTGAAAAGCTTGGTATGGAGTTTTAACTCTACGAACTTTACAATGGAAAGACTCTAATATGATCGCTATATGTCCCTCCACAAATTTGTATTTTTTAGTTAAATCCGACTTCAACAAAGTTATAAATTCATCGGAATTTTTTATTTTTTTTTTATGCACATAATTTTGAACCATGTGAACCATTTTCGATTATTCAGTTTTTATCGGAAAGGTGGTACCATAGGTTAGGTTAGGTTAATGAAGCAGTCATTGGACTCATTGACTCTAAGATGATAGTTTTGGCAACCTTTTTATTTCTTGAGGTGCCCACACTCCCCGACGTGTACGTATGCCGTGTCTGTTTGACGTAGCAAAATATAAATTTTCTGTTGCTAGAGAGACAGAGAGAAGCANCTTGAGGTGCCCACACTCCCCGACGTGTACGTATGCCGTGTCTGTTTGACATAGCAAAATATTAAATTTTCTGTTGCTAGAGAGACAGAGAGAAGACGTACACGATGGTGAGTTTTCATTTACANGCAACCTTTTTATTTCTTGAGGTGCCCACACTCCCCGACGTGTACGTATGCCGTGTCTGTTTGACGTAGCAAAATATAAATTTTCTGTTGCTAGAGAGACAGAGAGAAGCAGTACACGATGGTGAGTTTTCATTTACATGGCGCTCTCATAAGTTTGATCGTGTCAGCTGACACGTTAACATACGTTTACGTCGGTGAGTATGGCCACTTTTAATATATATTTCATGGAACCATTATGAAGCTCTTATAAAGTGTGCATGACCTTCGAAATATCCTCTCTCGTGACGATGAGCAACTCTTCTGTTTTTTCCTATCAATTTGCAGCCATAGTAGCCTAGCTGTTCTACAAGTGCCCCATTGGCCCCTTGGATAATGCTATTTGTAATCATTAATTTGCAGGTTTCCATGGGTATCCCAATTCTGCCTTTCTTGGCTAGCTCATTGGCCCTGCAATTTCCTGCAGTAGCTCTATGTCGCGGGACTATTCTGAGGTTGACCGTGAAGATGGTGCTAATGTGATTAGGGGCTGACAGGAATTCCTGTGCAACCTTTGATCTTAGCATTACCACTATGCATTAATTCTATGAACCTTTTGTTTTTAGTCGAAAGATGATACCTTGGAGGTTGTCCCATGCTAATTCTATTTAGTTCAGATGATCGGAACATGTATAAAATAACGGTACATAACGAATTAGATAATGGTTTCCTCTTTATTATATGAGCGGTTGAATTTTTTGCTTAAAAATTACTTGTCACATTACGCAAACAAAAGCTTTCCTCGCTATGCTTTAAATATTTTTACACTCTTACATACATACATACATACGAACTACATAGGCACAAACATATAGATATTAAAGAGCTGTGAAAATTAAAATAATAAACTTTACTAATACATAATCGCATTTTTGGCTGAAATTTGCAGGCCCTACAGGTTGCAGTAAAATTAGAGGGGGACGTCATAACAGCCAATGGATCCATTTTAAGCGGATACGAGGGCCACGAGGTACAGTCAAATAGTAGTGGATCAACTACATCCATGTGTTCTTGCAGCTGTGCACGTTTTAGTGCAAATCGTCATAAAACGTGAGTACAAGATACGCACATACATACATACGTACATATATATGTACATTAGACTGCATCACTCCCCATACAAAAAAAAAAAATCGGTACTGTTTTTCCGCCGGAATTAAAAAATCTATTATATTTTAAGACTTTCATCGAAATATTTCGGAATTATATTAAGATTTACGTTTTCTGGACAGATTTGAAAAAATTGAGTTTTTTGTGAAAAAAGTTAGAAAACAACATCAAAAATCTAATTATTATGATTGCGTTGAAAAAATGTTTGAATAATTTTATTTAGATTTTTAAAGCTTAATCTGTTTTGTCATCTGAGGGGATTTTTTCGAAAATATCCACTCCATTTTTTGAGGTATTTTTCAATCGGCCCAGCTCACGTAAATCTTAATATTTTTCCGAAATATATATTTTGGTGGAAGTCTTAAAATATAATAAATTTTGTAATACCGATGGAAAAACCGAATTTTTTTGTTGGTGATGCAGTCTAATGTACATACATATCGTTAGTGATTTAGTATTTAAAATGTATGTATGTATGTCCAACTAAATTTTTTTTCTATTTATATCTATTATAGGCATCAGTATAAAGCTCGTCGTTCGCCCTCGCATATACGCCATTTATTACCGGAAATTGTTCCAATGCAGGACCTAAGTTACGACACCCATAGCCTGAATACGGACGGGCTCGATATCGTGGATACATCCTCAGGCTCGCCTTCAAAACCGCACAGACAATTACTCAAGCGCAATGTGTCACTACTCTCTTTTCGTATTTAAAATACAATTACTACTGATTAGAATTACGTAATTAAGTATTATGTATGATTAGTTACATATATGTAGGTATGTAGGTAAGCTTAATTAAATACAATAATTTTTAATTCGCTGGTAATCATAGCTTTTAAAATAGTATGTATTTATTATTGTATAATACGTTCATGTGCAGGTGATCGGAATCCTACATGCATGCATACGTACATGTATAACATACATATGAATATTAGGGTTGCCCCTAAATCTCAATCTATAGTTACCGGGGGCGTATGATGAACGCGAGAATCAGTAACCTTTGAGTTGAACTATTAAATAACTGTAAAGTCTTAATTATTATTCTGGCATAGGTAGTGTCTGCTTCAAAGCATACTTTATCGGTTATGGGTACCTGCAATTTAAAAATCCAGCTTTACTTTTTCGACTTTGGCCAACTTTTTTAGTAGATCTCCGATTATTGCGCTATTGCATTGCACTAAGGTATAGGCATGTAAGTCAGCTTTTTTCGTACTTACAAAAAAAAAAACTTGGTTTTCGATAAAGAAAACGTCAATTCAAATAACGGTGTTTTGTTTTTATAAAAAGGTTGCCAAAGCCGTTGCCTGTGAGAGAAATATTTCGTTTTGTGTTCTGTCTTTTTTTGCAGCTGACAACACTGGATCTCAAATTAATTAAAATTTTTGCTGTAAACCAATATAATTACCTAAAAATTAACAAAAACATAGAAAATACAGAAAAAGGTAAATACTTTAAGATCTATAACTGGTATTTTTTGAAATTTTTTTGTTGATTAAGAAACATACTTCCGAGACAACCTTTGATTAATATTTTTTCCTTAAAAATATAATTGGAAAAAGCTTTTTAAGGTTTTTGCCCGCTTTTGGGCTTGTTTAGACTATCAAAATCGTGCAAAAATTAAGAGTTTTGAGTTTAAATTGGCAGTTTCATGTAGCGTTTTTTCGTGATTTCTGAAAAAATTGCTTTTTTGTGAACTATTGAACTATTTGCTGTATGGAGGGAAGATCTCAATAAAGAGAGGAAAAAAGGCTGTTTGCAGTGTTGTAGCTGCAAAGGCTGCACATTTTAATTTTTCAACAGCCAAATTATGTTTGAATATAAATAGTTTTTTATAACTAAGAAGCATTGTTATCTTTAATAAAAGTATAAAAACTGTATTCAAACTTTTTTAATAAAACCACAAATTAAAAGCTGCCACTTACACCTCTCGGTCAACGAGGGTTAAGATTTTTTGTATCGCAAAAATGTGGGTTCATATAACAATATTTTGGCGCTTATAGTTTTTCTAAGTGTTTGGCCGTGATTTTTCTCCAATTTGATGTGTGCGCCTTGGTTTGTTACACAAATGCATAGATCTATAATTTTGCGCCACCTCCGAGCGGAAAATGGTCCGAAATATTTTGGTGGACGTCTTAAAATATAATAGCTTTTATAATTCCAATGGAAAAATAGTACCGATTTTTTTTTTTGTATGTGGAGTGATGCAGTCTAATATACACACATATATCTTTAGTATAGTACTTTCCATACGTACACGACTTCGTCGAAATACAAAAACGTCCACACCCCTTCACTTGGATAAGCTTATCATTATCAAATATGTGAATAAAAAAAATTTAGTTAGTTATGGCTACTTTGCATTTAAGCCTCGATGTGAGATACGCCCCTTCCATACTATACTACCGATATGTAATAGCTAATGATAATGATTGATTTCACCGAGCAAGAGTCAATTTTACACTAAAAATATATTTTAAATAAATTTTGTCACTAATCATATCTTTGAAATTTCAAAGTCCTTTAAAAAATCCTGTCAGAGAGAAGAAAGAGAGAGAAAATTTAAAGCGCAGTTTTACTATATTTTGCCCATAGTTGCTTGAGTATATTGACTGTATCGTGTTTTGTATTTTTTTTGTTTTTGTTGCATTATTATAAGTCTTCAAATATTTTGAAAGTTAATTTGAAAGTACATAGGCTAGGTTAGGGGTTGAAGCGTCTGCCTTCATCCAACGTAGGAAAGGGGCACACTTAGATCCAGTGGGTATGGTGTGACACCAATTGAGAGGCTGGGCCAGATTTGTCGAGTCCTTCCTCGGAGGGATACGAGTTGAAAGTACATAAATAACCGAAAAAGGTTTACATTTTTTTATTTTTATTTATGTTTAATTTATAACGTGTCAAATCTACAGTCATATATTCAAGCCATCTATATACATACATACATATATAGGGCAGTAAAATTTTGCGAGTAAAATTATTTTATGAAGTCAAAGTTTGCAAAGCTTCTCCATAGGAAAACCGGTTTTTAACGTGCAATCCGTGCGAACCATGCATCGTGCAAGGGTATTGCAAGACTTCGAGAATACCCTTATTATACTTGACGCATTCGGTACCATCAATAATAACCTAATCTTAGAAATTGAAATGGAAATAATTCTTAATGAAGTAGATTTTTATTCCATGAAGCATAACGAAGTCGGCAGGTTCGAAATTGTTTTAAAAATATTTCAAATCGTCCGCATTATTGATGCAAACAAACTAGGGGTATGCATAAAAATATTAGCTTAAGCTCAGGCTCAAATTAATTTCATTAGTACCAAAAATTATTTGACGTTCAGATTTTTACCGATTTCGCAAAGAGGTTACCAAACCCCTGGGCTAAGATGTTCGGCAACATTCGAACATACATGCCCAGTGGGAAAATGTAATGTATAGTAACCGAAAAAAAACCCTTTTCACATTCGAAAATCCATTTTTTCTCAGGGCGATGTCCTAAGAAAAGTGACGCATTTAATTTTGCATTACCTAGTATCGAGAAATGAATATGTTTTAATATGAAATTTTCGGAATTTTTTGAATACATTAGAATGCTGATTAATAGTTAGCAGTAATATAATCGAGAACTCATAAGAAATACATTACATTATTTATCACGCATGTAATACATCTCTTCTTATCCGACTGGGTGAGTATGTATGTATGTACCTATGTGCGTATGCATGCATGTGGTGTACGTGAATTTTTTGTGAATGGTCGTTGAAGCGACCTTAATTTATTATAATGACTATTATGTGCTTTCCTGCGCTTCATTTTAAAATAAGTAGTATATTAATACTAGGGTGCTTTTTTTTGTGGCTATTGTTTTTTTTTCACTCCTACCTCGAAATTATGTGAAAAACGCCTTAAAAAANCATACTAGGGTGCTTTTTTTTTGTGGCTATTGTTTTTTTTTTCACTCCTACCTCGAAATTATGTGAAAAACGCCTTAAAAAACTCACTGAAAATTTGAACCCTTGATATTAACATTAAGTATTCGCCCAAGGCGTGCAAATGATTTCCCATATAAAATACTCGTAAACTTCGATTTTATTTTCAAAACTCTACAGCTCAGAGCATGGTATGATTACAATCAATGACAGATTTTCTTTCAAACCACCAAAGCCAATATTTTGATTAATTTCCCGTTTTTTTTCAAAGCCCAATATCTCAAGATATATAGATGTTAGTGATTTGGTGGACTAGAACTTTTTTGTATAAAATTAAATGGCCTACACGTTTATCATTCGCAATTTTTCTGTAGNTCTAGGGGTATGCATAAAAATATTAGCTTAAGCTCAGGCTCAAATTAATTTCATTAGTACCAAAAATTATTTGACGCTCAGATTTTTACCGATTTCGCAAAGAGGTTACCAAACCCCTGGGCTAAGATGTTCGGCAACATTCGAACATACATGCCCAGTGGGAAAATGTAATGTATAGTAACCGAAAAAAAACCCTTTTCACATTCGAAAATCCATTTTTTCTCAGGGCGATGTCCTAAGAAAAGTGACGCATTTAATTTTGCATTACCTAGTATCGAGAAATGAATATGTTTTAATATGAAATTTTCGGAATTTTTTGAATACATTAGAATGCTGATTAATAGTTAGCAGTAATATAATCGAGAACTCATAAGAAATACATTACATTATTTATCACGCATGTAATACATCTCTTCTTATCCGACTGGGTGAGTATGTATGTATGTACCTATGTGCGTATGCATGCATGTGGTGTACGTGAATTTTTTGTGAATGGTCGTTGAAGCGACCTTAATTTATTATAATGACTATTATGTGCTTTCCTGCGCTTCATTTTAAAATAAGTAGTATATTAATACTAGGGTGCTTTTTTTTGTGGCTATTGTTTTTTTTTCACTCCTACCTCGAAATTATGTGAAAAACGCCTTAAAAAACTCACTGAAAATTTGAACCCTTGATATTAACATTAAGTATTCGCCCAAGGCGTGCAAATGATTTCCCATATAAAATACTCGTAAACTTCGATTTTATTTTCAAAACTCTACAGCTNCCCTTTTCACATTCGAAAATCCATTTTTTCTCAGGGCGATGATGAATATGTTTTAATATGAAATTTTCGGAACTTTTTGAATACATTAGAATGCTGATTACATAGTTAGCAGTAATATAATCGAGAATACATAAGAAATACATTACATTATTTATCACGCATGTAATACATCTCTTCTTATCCGACTGGGTGAGTATGTATGTATGTACCTATGTGCGTATGCATGCATGTGGTGTACGTGAATTTTTTGTGAATGGTCGTTGAAGCGACCTTAATTTATTATAATGACTATTATGTGCTTTCCTGCGCTTCATTTTAAAATAAGTAGTATATTCATACTAGGGTGCTTTTTTTTTGTGGCTATTGTTTTTTTTTTCACTCCTACCTCGAAATTATGTGAAAAACGCCTTAAAAAACTCACTGAAAATTTGAACCCTTGATATTAACATTAAGTATTCGCCCAAGGCGTGCAAATGATTTCCCATATAAAATACTCGTAAACTTCGATTTTATTTTCAAAACTCTACAGCTCAGAGCATGGTATGATTACAATCAATGACAGATTTTCTTTCAAACCACCAAAGCCAATATTTTGATTAATTTCCCGTTTTTTTTCAAAGCCCAATATCTCAAGATATATAGATGTTAGTGATTTGGTGGACTAGAACTTTTTTGTATAAAATTAAATGGCCTACACGTTTATCATTCGCAATTTTTCTGTAGCTCTTGTTATTTACGAGATAGGGGCAAAAAACGGGAATTTAATCAAAATATTGGGTTTGGTGACCTGTACTAACTCACGGATGGAAGTTAGAGTTACGCCACAATGGACACTTTTGTAGAACATTAAATTCTGAAGGAAATCCGTCATCGACCATAATTATATTATACCATAAAATGCGTCTGAGCTATAGAGTTTTGAAAAAATCAAAGTGTACGTGTATTTTATATGGGAAATCTTTGCACAACTTCGGCGGGAGGGTACTTAATGTTAATCTTATGGGTTCAAATTTTCAGGGAGTTTTTTTTTTAGGTGTTTTCCACAAAATTTCGAGGTAGGAGTGAAAAAAACAGTAGTCGCAAAAAACCACCCTAATACATACATATTGTAAATACGTATTTATCCAAATTTAACTAAGAAAACATTTATTATTTTAAATATACATATGTATCTATGTATGT